TAATTGTTCGGTGGTCATTTAAACAATGGGACAAAAGGAAAATCAAACTTTTGGGTCTTCGCTGTTCACTAAACTGACGCATAACTCAATGTACCTATTAAAGCCAGAGATTATTATTATTTGAGGCCAGTTGGGGAATGATGAAATAAGCGTAAACATTCAATTTACTCATATCAACATCAAGCTTTTCATCAAGGGGTGTGCGATAGACTTACCTCCACGTGGTGCACCCTGGGCAACGTATACTCATGCGGCAAAAAAGTCTATTAACTGGCAGTTGACTTCAAACTGTCATGGCCTGACTCCATGTCATATTCAACCACTTCCACAGTAATCACCTTACCCTTAACTCTACCCTTACATCCCTCTTCGGTAATGAAATATCTGCACTCTCTCTCTCTCTCGTCATATTTGATAAGGCATTCGTTGTATCGTCTTAATTGTGGAACTTGAAGTAAATTGAGTTCAAAAACTTCATTTCATGTGGAAAGTATCCTTCCCCCGAACCCCCCCTCCCCTTATTCTTGGAAATGAAGTTTGCTCATTGGTAAATGGTTTCAAACCAACATCTGGTAATCCTCGAACAAAAACTAGGTTTGTGAATTTTATTTCCCCGCTAAATTTATTATTTCTTTTTAAAAAAATCAAAGCAAAGTCGTATTTACTCTGTGCCAGGAATACCCTCACAATCATTTATAAGCATGCTTAACATAAACATTTCAAACAAGGTTTAGTCAGCTTTGCATGCCGGCCTAACAATTGGATCAGAAAAGCAAGCATTTTCACCCTATATTCTCTGGGATTCTCGAGGTATTGTATCTCACAATTCTTTGTAAAACATGATAGTTGCGGATGCACTGGGGGCTAGTATTCACAACGCCTGTAGCACAAGAGTATGGGTGAGAGTTATGTTTGACAAATCGTGGTGCTAACCGACGTCCAAAAAGAAGTACAATATCATGCCAGAAAAGCCGGTCCTATGAGAGAATTGGAATATAGTGAAGTCCAATACCTTCAACAGAGTCATCGATTTCATTTTCTTTCTATGTTCATAGTTCGAAATTAGGGTTGAGGTAATTACAAGGTGATTACATCTGAAAGTCATGTTTAAAGTACTTACATTGTGATTATGCTTAAGAACCAATTGCAGTCAATCAATACATAAAAACTATTTATTGAACTACGGAGGGCTTAAGATAAATCAAGTGAGTTGGAAAGCCAATTAGTGTAGATGTTAAACTGGCTTGGAGTTATTTTTAACTTTGAGGGAACCGAATCCCACTCAAATCATACATGTGGCTTAACTACAGCAGTGATCACATAGCCATCTGATTTCATTCTACGCCCTCCCCACCCCCCTCTTCATAAAATGCGGAATGCCCCATCACACGCCGACCCTCAAAGAATGACACATCCGAAAACCGCGACAGTTTGGGCATAGCTGGAGGAGGGTCCTCTTAGCTGTTTACAGCTCATCTACCACTCAGCATACTAGAAGTGGGGTGTGCGATAGACTTGCCTCCACGTGGTGTATCCTGGGCAACGTATACACATACGGCAAAAAGTCTATCAAACCGGCAGTTGACTTCTCACTTCAAACTACCATCACCCCACTGCATGTCATATCCGACTACTTCCACTGTATTCAACTCTCCCTTTCTTCGCCTTTGTGTCCGTCTGTCTCTTTTACATCTGCGAATCACTCTTCTGTTTCCCACCCCTCGACTTTCTGTTATTTTGATGTTTCTACCGTCTGTGAAGCCCGAAGTCAGCGAAATGCCTAGTAGTAACTATCAAAATGCCTGCCATTTGAAATTAATGAATGTTATGCTTGTGAACTTGGAAGAAGTTTGTCGCATCAGAAGATAAGCAGATTATTTGTGTTTCAGAAGGGTATATTGCTTTGATCGAAAATATCTTCGCGTTTATTATAGAACCATTTTCACTGGTCTTTCCTTTGAGAAGTTGGCCCCTGCGACGCTTATATGGCCCTATGGCTGGAAGGCCTTCAGTGCGTTCGAGCTGCATGGAAGAAGCTGGTTTGATGTCTGAATTGCATTGTCCAGGTTGCCCCAACACTCTGACACAGCAGATTTTCGAGGATAGTCTCCATTGCAAGTCTCGAACCCATGCCGGACTGTTTTCACAGTGTTCAGGCAGCATTGAGCATTATTTTTAAATATATCGCGAATCGTCTTGGGGCAAATCAATCTCTTCGATGATTCAGAGGATGTGCTCCAGCCGATACCCATTCGCGTTGTCAGCATGGGTGGGATTGAAGAAGAGCTCGTGAACATCTTTAAATCATGGATGGTGGGGGAGGGGTGGGGGGAAGTTTCCAAATAATTTTCCCAAAATTTATCTCGAACACACTGTCGGTAATTAGGGAAGAATATGCTGGCGTAAAACATGTAAATCGCAAAATATCTCAGTTAAGCCATCTACTCTGATGAGCTCGAAATTAATGCCAAGCCCCAATCGTTCAATTTATTAAAATCAAAATATGCAACCTTGACAAATATAAAAACCATTATAACTCCGTAATGGAGCGATAAACAAAAATATAAGAGCATTAATTTAAGAAAATCGATAAAATCCTGAGACAAATTTCGAACTAAATTGAATTTCTCAAGGCGAGGAATTTATTGTCTGCATAAAGTAGTCATTATCATGCTAGCAATTAGACAAATGGAATTCTGATAGTCCTACTTACGCCATCCAAAAATACGAACGAAAATGGATCTTTTCCCGATCTAACAATTTAGAAGTTGAATAACTACGGTACTTTGGGTGTCGGTAACCAAGGCATAAGGAATAAGGCAAATAGGACTCCAATGCATCACGATAAAGAAAATCACTCCTAGATCAATTTAGAGAAATGGTTTTCCAGATTCTCTATTTTTTTTAAAGAAGGAATTAAAATACTTGGAGTTGTTTGGGCTTCAATAGAGCAAAATGTCATCTGTGCGTGAAATGATTGAACACACTTTTAGTCGGATTAATAAAGGGGGTAACAGAAATTGACTGTCATACCAAACTAGCTACCTTGAACCGTTCAAGGGGATAGAAATTGATGTTCTAAAGTGACTACTGTGGGACACGTTATCGCTCTGTGCGTCATCGTACGCCTGCAGGTCTACTCGCCAGGATTGGGAGGTGCGGCCGTACAACTCTGTGTGCAGCGACCGTACGATTGGGAGGTGCGGCCGTACAACTCTGTGTGCAGCGACCAGGAGGTGCGGCCGTACAACTCTGTGTGCAGCGACCGTACAGTGACCAATCATCAACCTCTGTTTAACCTGATCCCTCATCCTGATCACGAGTAGCTTCCTGCGTGTACACTTTATCCTGCAATACCCGTACTGAATAAACGTGCTCCATGCTACACGTCTGTTCCCTTTCATATCTGGGCTATAGCTTAGCTGGTTCTAGGAGTCTAGCTAGATGTAGGAGGATCTGCCATAGAGATTTCTGAGTCAGTCAGGCTTTACTAAGGTAGCAATCCGCTACACTACAATAACTGGAATAGGGATTTCTTTTAACTGTTGATGAAAAGGATTTCCTGTTTATTACTTTTCAATTATGTTTTCTTAAGTGTTCTACTGATTTAATACCATTATTAAATCGCAAAAAAACTTGTTTAACTAAAAAGCGCAATGATTGCATTGAACACCCCTTCCGTACCCACAACGAACTTACAGTGACCCCACATAAAAAATCGAGGATATAAAGTGAGTTCACATTTTTGTATTAAGTTAAGGTAGTTCAGGACATAACAGAAGTCGGCTCTAGCATTCGGAATCATACACTTTAGCATGTGCAAATGGGTTTGATTTTTTGCTTCTGAAAAAATTAAAGTAATTCGATAGAAAACTAGATTGCATCATGATGATTAGAGGAAATCGATCAGAAATTTCAGTTAAATCTAAATTGGATTGTGGTGTTTAGCCAATTCCAGATACATTCCATATTAAAACATGCCTAGCATTGAAATAACCAAGCTAAAGGAAGCACTATGTAACCACCAACAGAGACCAAACAAAATTTTCTAACACTTAGTAATCAGGCTCATAATCATTAGCATGAGCACATCACTCACAAAGGAATGTTGTTTTAACGAATCAAGTCTAGTTGAACAAATAGCCATAA